AGAAAGATGTGGTTATGAGAACTGAGGTCACAAGAAATATATGATGTCCTTTAAAATATTTTATATATTCATTAGAGTAAAACATAAAGGCTGCAACTTGCAAATTGCAGTCTAGGCTTGTAAACTCAAGTCTACCACTGATTCATTCTATATGTGCCCCCCTATGTCAAGGGGATAAATTAGAGACAAACTATTGACAGATTATAGAAAGAAATAGCAATACTTTTTCCTCTGAATACTTTGAAGTATTAAATAAATAAAAATCAGGTCAACTTCAGGTTGTAATTATGTTCCATAATTTACAACATATAAATGTTGGCTGATACCTGAATCTTCTCCAATACTGGTAATCCTGAATGTATTCCCTGTTGAATGAAGAATGCATTTTATGACATTTTCTGATGATGAAATCACATCACAAGGGAAGGAACCTAGAAAGAAAAGAAAAAAGATGGGGGAAAAAAACATTTTCTCAAATATTTTTTGTAAAACATAGAAATGAAGCAAACAGTTAAGGCCCTGCAAAAGCTCCACATTTAGTAAAATCTCTGATACTTTTCTGAGAGCTATCATGTTTGAGTATTGATTAATTTTAGAACAGAGACTTTCACTTTTTAAAGTGTTTTATACATATTAAATATAAAATATTTATTGAAATCAAAAGCAGTTATTCAATTTCTCTTTACCACCTTAACCAAACACACTTAGCCTTTTATATGCTAATAGCAAAATAAAGTTTCCATGATTGAGAGTATTTGTATAATAACACCTAAAAGCACATCTTTTATTTTATTTTTTATTTTTTAAAAATATTTTATTTATTTATTTTTGTGAGAGAGAGAGTGAGCATGAGCAGGGTGGGTGGGGGTAGGGGCAGAGGGAGAAGCAGACTCCCCACTGAGCAGGGATCCGATTTGGGACTCAATCCAAGGACCCTGGATCATGACCTGAGCCAAAGGCAGATGCTTAACCAACTTAGGCACCCTAAGCACATCTTTTAAAGTGAAAAAAATGATATCACCCTTTTGTGAGGGTGCTCTTACCTAAGAGCACGGTATTCTCAGTTGGTATTGTGCTGAACCCCAAACCCATTATAGTGATTTCAGTTCCACCATATAAAGAGCCCCTCTGTGGAAACATGGCAGTCACTTCCAAAGTATACTGTATAGAAGCATTCAACTTGTCTCTGCAAAAGAAAAATTAATAGATGTTTTGATGAGTTTTCCATGAGGTCCTATTGCTAAACTCTTATTAGGATATGATTCATTTAGGAAGAGGAAGTAGTTGAATATTTAATTAGACATTACTTTTTCGAACTAAGTAATCTGATAATCATCATGACCTTAATTTGGTTGGATGGTCTGTGTGTGTGCGTGTATAATAATAACATACATAGCATATGTAGTTATGTACTATATAAAATAATAATATATAATAAGAGTTTTCCCCTAACAATGAAAATTAGATTTCTGAAAATCCCATGGCAAGAATAATTTGAGATGGAGAATCTTAAAATATTATGAGAAAGATGTGGTTATGAGAACTGAGGTCACAAGAAATATATGATGTCCTTTAAAATATTTTATATATTCATTAGAGTAAAACATAAAGGCTGCATTATCTATAAGGGAATAGAAATGAAATTCCATACATTTTATATAAGAAATAAAAGTTTTGTGCAACTAATTTAATTATTCTATGTATGTTGGACACTTGTCATGATCTCCCTTCCCAGTATTTCAATGAGAGAGTTTTAAACTTATTTTGCTTTGTTACAGACAATGTGTCTGCTAGGAGACCATCGAAATGTACAGTGATTTTCTGACCTGGTATTTAGAGGAGACTCCTACATCCCAGCTCTCGCCATGAGGAAAATGAGTCTTTGTGTTAACTTTTAGTTCACTTCCTCAGCATAACTGAATTCATATTTCTTGAACTGTCACTGAAATAACCAGTTTTGTAGGCTGTCAATTCTGCTCATTATCTCCCTCATGCCAAAGCACAAACCAGCAGCTCTTCTGGAACCTATGTGAACTCTGCCATGTGAATTGAAGAGGGGATGTAGTTCTGGGGTTCATATTTACTCTTGCTTATCCTCCTTTACCTCAAAATTCTGCTGCAATAATCTCTCCTATTCTGACATCAGGTGTACCTGCCTTTTTTTTTTTTTTTAATCCCTCTATTTCAGTTTCCTCTTTTTCTAAGTATTCTAAACCCGTACTTTTCTTATGCCAGAATGAAAATTTTACTAAAATTTTAACAAACAGCTTCCGGGAAGAAAATACTGAATAGTAACCTAAAGGAAATAGCTGGAGAAGGATTCTGTCCTCCTCTCCTTTATGGGCAACTCCTACCCATTTCTTGGCTTAATTGTCACCTTTTAGAGAATGCTTTCCTGTCCCTCAGGAAAAGTTAGTGCTCTCTATTATATGCTCTTACAGACCTGCTACCTCTTACTCATAGCCTTTTTCACACTTATAATTAAGTTATTGATGTAATCTTCTGTTTGAAATCTGCCTCCCCAACAAAACTGTGGGCACTACTAAGAGTGGAGGACATGTCCCTCTTATTCTCCACAGTGAATCCAGCACTGAGCAAGCGACTGGCCCTTACTAACTGCTTGATAAGTATTTCCAGAATGAAAAATATGTGATATATACGTAAACCTAGTTCCACAGAGAATCTTACAACCTAACCTGAATGGTATTGGCCTCAAAACTAAGCACAGATTGCACTGTATGAGATATTCTCAGAACACTTTGCAAAAGGAGATGTAGATAGGTGAAAAAAGCAACTGAAATATTATAAAGTTAATGGTTATTTCTTTTCTTACCCCCAAACCATTGGCCCCATGTATTCCACAACTCCTCAAGTTTATGGACATTACTATACCTTGTTGATGCAAAGCCCCAGTTTCTGACTTCTACATAGATATCATGTTTTCCAGGAGACAGCTTGGGCAAAAGACATCTAATATATGTGAAGTTCCACTGAAAAATCTGACAGGGTTTTCCTCCAACATATACCTCCACGTTTTGTGTGATTTCATTTCCAAAGTTATAACCCTTAATTGTTAAATTAACTTCTCCTATTATTTTAAAAGAGAATAAAACTTTTACAAGAAGATTCAACTTATTATATGGCATAAAATTTGCATATTAAATAAACTAACTCATTTCTTATCTTTTGTTGGATTTAGGAAATCCTAATGCTTGCAGAGGCAAAAGAGAAATCAGTGAAAGAATTGATAGCTCCCATGTAGAGATAAAATTCATTTTTAATTGTTTCACAGGAAAAAAAAGATGGCAAAGTACTTTCTAAAAAACTTAACATTTTTCTCCTTATTACACATGTTCAAAGTGAAATAATAAATAGACTAATGTATGCTTAAAAAAAACTTGTGCCTGGTTTTGCTTTAAGAAACAACTGCAGAAGAAACTATGCTTCAAAAACCTTTCTACAAATAGTTCACATTTATCTATGTGATGTATATATATCTTACATATACATGTTTATCTTACATATATCTTACATATATATGTCAAATGACTGATTTTATTGAAATTTTTCTTACCTTGTATCGTTCGTACTTTTGGACTAAAATCAGTTATAACTGGAGTCTGTAAACAATTATAACTATAAGCATCCTTTGCTGTGGCTTGAAATCCATTGGTAATAACTGAAATATCAACTGTACCCTCAATTCTCTGAAATAAGAAGAAAAAAAAATTAGAAAATATTAAATGTTGAGATAAAGAAATCCAGTGGCTAAAAACAAATAGAATTATTCAAAATAAACTGCTGAAGATGTTTGGTTTCAAAGTCATGAATCAGAATCATTTTTCAGATATTTAGAAAGCTGTGGTATCCAATGTAGGCTACATGTTTTAATTTTTTAGATAAAGGTATATGATATAGTAGTTTTGAGGATGTTTATGACCAATTTAAATGCATATTAATTATTGGACTCCTAAGGACTCTGCAATATAGTTAAGATGCTCTGGACAAGTGACTCTTATTTTTTAAAAAATTTTAAAAGATTTTATTTATTTGAGAGAGAGAGAGCAGGAGCAGGGGGAGGGGCAGAGGGAGAAGGAGAAGCAGGTTCCTCACTGAGCTGGGAGCCCCAAGCAGGGGGCTCGATCCCAGGATCCTGGGATCATGACCTGAGCTGAAGGCAGACACTTAACCGACTGAGCCACCCAGATGCCCGCCCCTGGACAAGTGACTCTTTTAAATTGATAAAGCAAAGGTGCTAAAAGTTTTGACATTTTGTTCTTAAAACATACTCAAATGTAATTTTTTATTCCTCTTCCCTGACAAATCACATTATTATATCTTTTTGCTGACCTAGTTTCAGAATTGGAGACTAAGACACTTGGATCCCTAAGAAAAATGTTTGGTGCTTTCACTGATAGAATATCTATACACTTCCCAATTAGGAAAAAACGCTTTTCCAGAATGTAGTATTTGCTTAATGTGCACTCAGCATTTAAGTGAATGACATAATTTAAACACAGTTTTTGTTTACCATATCCTCCAGATTTTCATCATCATTTGGTCCAACACGTGTTCAAATTTACTTTTCCTACAGACTTCAACTACATAATACCCACACTGAGTCTGCTCAATTTTTTTTAATGTTACTTACTGGATTCAGCATCCTTTTGCACATAATAAGCAAACAAGAGTCTTGGTTTAAATCTAGACACTATTTTTTAAGATAAAGAACAACGATTGGTGCTAAGATACAATATTGCATGAGGAATTTCACGGGTTTTTTTGTATTTGCTTTATTTATTTATTGTTGACAAACTGAAACTTTAACACATTTAAGACATAAATTCTTTTTTTAGAAATAAAAAATGTCTAGATTTGCTTCTCTGAATTTTTTTTAGACTGTTAGTACTGAATGTTTTCATCCTGGCATTTACCTGGTCAACTCTCATTCATCCTTCAAGTTCTGATAGGCCATCAATTTTTCTGTGAAACTCTTTCTCAGCCTCTCGTCACTATATTTTATTTTTACTTTGTATCTATTTCTATTATTTCAAGTGGAACACACGGTTTAACACTGGTTTATGTGTCTGTCTTTCTAAACGGTAAGTATCTAGAATGTGGATATAATGCTTCATATTTGGATCTTAGCAGAGAGATGTTGGAGAAATAATTGTACAGAACAACACTGTAATGCCACAGTTTCTAGGTAAAAATGTCACTTGTTTAATCTACTAAGATGTTCATAAGTTTTTAGGGAAAAAAAAAATGACTGAAATCAGATGCCTTACTTTTGGTGTTCTGCAGGTTATCTTATTCAAATCCCCTTCAATCACATTGCAGGTTTCATTTCCAACTAATACCTTTGAATTTTCATTAAAGCCAAATCCAGATACACTCAGAAGAGTACCACCTTCAAAGGGAAACAACAATAACAATAATAGATCGACAATAACAAAAGGAAACTTTGGCAAGAATCTAACTCATCATTCAAGAGTTAGGCTGGCAAAGAGATGGGCTGGCAAATAATCAAGGACCAGATCTGAGATACATATAATCACCACCCCATCTGGGAACCAGAGCTCTGAAGTCTGGAACCATAAAGCAACTGGGTTAAGTGATTTCATGAAATAACAGATTTGGAACCACCCTTTGCTTTGGGGCATCACTAGCAGCAACTATTTTCCATATAGTCCTCTTCATCCTAAAGAGAAATTATGCTGTTTCTATATGCTCAACCATTCTGTGGGTGGGAATGAAAGTGAATGAAGACTCTTCCCAAATCTCAGATTTTACTATCTCTAAGTAAAAGGAACTAAGAAAAAATCCCAACAAAACAAAAATAAAATAAAGTAAAATAAAAACACAAAACACACCGAAAAGATCAAGACCAAAGCAAAAATCCAAAACCGAGCACGGTCAAACCAAGGCAAAGGAAATGAAGCAGGACAGGAAAAATGTGTTATTTTCTCTCCATCTTCTGCATCAGCCTTCCTTTCTCCGATTTGTTCCTGGAACTTTTTCTGGGTCAAGTAGCTCCACTGAGACCATGGTTACAAATGGAGCAGCTTGCAAGCAGAATAATAACTAATAAATCTTATCTTGACATAATTGATGAGCTTGTTATAGAAACATGTAATAATTGATGATATTAATTCAATAACTTAAGATGTAAGTATAAGCAGTTGCCCTCACTTGTGCATCATATGAAACAAAAGAATTAGTCAGCCATTTAATCACTGTGCCTTCCAAAAGGGGAGTCTCCTTTGTTCTCTCTGAGGGAGCTTGGGGTTCTTCTCCCTCCACCCTGTTCTAGAAACAGTACAATGACATGACAGAAATGGATGCAATTTTCTTTGTTTAGAACAATTAACTATTACCTGCCAGGCTGCCAGAAGCAGGCCAGATGTGTGAGATCCGATTCTGATACGTGAAATGGAATGTCTGACCCTCTACATTCCGTGCTAGTCCAACATCAGCTACGGACACAGCAACTGGGAAATGGCCAGAACTTCCATTCAGAATCTGGCACTTGATCTCATTTTCTGGTGATTAAAAAAGAAAAGCATGATAAATTAAATATGTTTGTAAGATAAAATTACTGAAATTTTATATTTGTAAATATAAACATTGGCCTTCATTTTTATACCCCAAGAAATGTATCTAAGGAATACGTCCCTTAATGGGACGAAAGTCTTTACAAGCTACCTGATGTTATGAATCAGACACTGTTAGAAAAAAGCTAGGTAAAAAAATAATAAAAGCAAAGTGAATGATTTGCTCCTGACTTCTACTGTGGCCAAAAACAAAAAAGGTTATTGTAATAATAATTTAAAAGTCCTAATCTGTAAAATCATTTATATCAATAATTCTAAAAATGTTGGTTCAATACATGATTTATGTCCAAAACTAAGTAAAATATCAGGTTTCATCAAGAAAGGTGATCAAAACCTAAATGAAAACCTATCCTTCACACTTTATTTAGAACAGTATATGTACATTTATATTACAAGTGCATTATTGACTTAGATCTCAAGAATGCACAGATATCTAAATTAAAAACAACTTAACTGTATGGAAGGTGAATTTGCTTATGTAATTAAAGTTAAAGAAAATACCTAGGATTATGAAAGATAATTTTTAGGGAAATAAATAATCATGGTTTTCACTTTTTCAAGAGTAGAAAATGTGAATAATCTTGAAATTCTGTGTTAATGGGTAGAGATTTTGTTGGACTAGAAGTCAGGGAAGATGGCCATGTCCTTTTTCTGCATTACTAATGTGACATTGTCAAAGCATGGGCAGAAAGGACCATGGAATACCAGAGTAGCAGCTTATATATTTTTGTGTCCCAGAAACATACCAAAGAAGGAGAGCTTTTATATAATCACTTTATGAGGGGAAAGGAACAAAAATTAACTGTTATGGGATAAAGACACTGTGCAATACTAAAAGAATTAGTTTGTGGTCATAAGCAAAGATTAAAAAGTGCATTTATCCAGAGAAGTTTGCCAATTTCATGCCCCCATAGCATACTCTATAGGAGAAGTATTATCCTAATACTGCTCTTTGAGTCTACTTTCTCTTAGAGAAAAACAATTAGCTGTAATAATAATAATTTTACAAAGAACCTACCAACCACAGAAAGAAGAGAGCAACCCATTGGTCCAACTGAGACTGATATAGTTGAATTGGGAGAAAATCCAGAGCCTGATATGGTTAGAATTGTGCTTTCTTCATAGGTCCCTGAAAATGATGATTTTAAACAACAATATTAAAATGAAAAAAACCACAGAATCTGTTGTTATAAAATCAAATGCTTTGCAGAGAAAAATAAGCCTATCTTCTAAAGACTATAAACAATAAGCCTATAAGCAAGCAGGGAAAAAAGACACATATTTCCCAATGGTAAATTTTTTCCATTGAATTGCTCTACATTGTTTCATGTTTTAAATCTATGTTGATAGGGATTAGCAGAAGAATCATCTGACTGCAGTATAGAATGACATAAGGAAAGGAAAATTGCTGTTATGACAAACAAATTAAACAGTCACCTCTATATGGTGACTTTTACTATGACAGAATTGCTAGCACAAATTCATGAGAAAAGGATGAACTGCATGCACAATATGTGTTGTGGGCACTTTCCACTTGTGATAAAATAAGATTCCTCTATCTAGGGTGACACACATCCTAAAGTGCCAGAGATACTACCAGGGTACACCCCCTGTCTCTGCACCTTATACTTAATGTTTTTCCATTCACTCTAGTGTCCAGATTTGATTGACAAATGATACGGTCACCCTACTTATATGACATCACACACAACATGGATTCCACATGGATTTAAATAGCTAAGAATGAAAAATGCGAAACTCTAGAATTTTAGAAGAAAACATAATCAAACATCTTAACTTTAATGTAGAGATGGGTTTCTTAAATAAGATTAAAAAGCCATGGTTAACCATAAAGGAAAAGATAAATAAATTGGACTAAATCAGTGATTGAAATGGTTCCATAAGCAAGATACTAAAAGTGCAGGTGACATACTGGGAGAAGACATGTGCAAAGGATTGGTAAACATAATATATAATACACAGCTATAAGGCAACAGAAAAAAGACAATCTGATAAATGAATAAAGGATGTTAACAAACAATTTGCAGAAGAAATAACCCAAATGTCCGAGAAACATATGAGAAGATGCTCACATGCATTACTCCTCAGGGAACAGACAAATTAAGATGATGATGAGATAACCCCTTTCACCCATCAAATTGACCAAACTTAGGAAGCTGATGATACCAAGTATTGACAAGGATGTGGGGAATACGGCATTCTCATGCCTGCTGCAAGTACAGGAACTCTGGAGAGCAATTTGGTTATCTAATAAACTGAACACACAAAAACTTGTTTATTATCCAGCAAGTCTGTCTCTGGGCATATCTAGCATGTATGCAATAGGAGATTTGTGCAACAAAGTTCAATACAGTTATGTGTAAAAGCAAAAAACTGTAAACAATCTAAACGTCCATCAATAGAGACAAAAATAAATCGGTATATTCATGAAGTATTTTAAAATGATGAATTGGACATACATAAAACCATATAACTATTTCTCAAAATGAATGCTGAATGACAAAAGTCAGATGCAAATGATACTTACAGTGTAATAGCTCTGATATTTACATTTCAACATCTCTTTCATAAGCTTAAAAAAACTGGCAAAATTACCATATCTGCATGTTATATACAAAAGGTATTAAAAATGGCATGGAAGAATACACACAAAATTAATTATTGTGACTGCCTCTAGGGAGATTTGTAAGGACTAGAACCAGAGATTGTGCCTCGAGAGGACTTTAGCTATTCCTATAATATTTCCCTTCTTAAACTGATGATTGGAAGTAAATATGACAAAATGCTAACAGTGCTAATTTTCAATGAAGAGAATATAGGTGTTTTTTACAGCATATTTATTCTTTATTTTTAAATTTATCAAAATTGGGCAAAAGGCAATTCAGATAATTAATTATTTTGTTAAGAAACAGTTTTTTTCAGGAACTGCATACAAAAATGGAAATTCATTACAAAATACAAGGATAGATGTAAAAATATAAATACCCCAAAGGACCACAACCAAATGAGAGTTAATCAAATTCTTATCCTTGATGGTTTTGACCCCCTGTGACATGAATTGTCCCAACGTAATATCATTACTGTAAAAAAAAGTCTGAAGAACATATTCTTTCAACACAAAGATGTGGTTTTTAAAATTTCCCTTTTTTCTCCTGATACATAATTAGCAGATGAATTTTCCTACTAGCCACCAAGATTAAATCTGAGATGGTAGCACCTGAGCTTATCTTTCTGACTGAAACAAAAGGCCACTCCGAACAATCCTTAGTCCTGCTGTTTACTTCAGTACTTGGGAGTTCAGACACAAAGTGTAATCACGTTTTTTTAAAGTAATAACATATTATGAAGATATGGTACAATGTTTCGCCCAAGACTGAGATCTTGGCAATATTTTTTCTCTCCAGTTCTCAGGTCTAGGACCTACTTATTTTCTTTTACTAAACAGCAGCTGTCTCATTACCAGCGTTGTAGTACTAAATCTCCTAGAAGTGGTCTCATATGATCAAAGATTCCTGTTAATACCCCAGCAAGCAGAATTTCATGAAAATGCCTCATCAGTGTGAAATTTTAGAGACTGATTCTAACGTGGTGAAACTGGAGAAGTAGAAGACTGGGGAGTCCAACTTCAAATACGATTTTTTTTTTCAAATATAAGTAATAAATGCTCTTTTCACAGCTTTCTGATCTGATAGATTTTTTTTAACTATGTAGAAATGTTTGAGTTGGTGAAACTAGTATATTAAAAAATCATTATTAGTATACAGTTTTGTTAGTTGTCCTCCACCCTCTACTCCAAGTTAAAAAGCAGATTACCTTGAGACGGGTTTATGGCCCATACTAATGGAGTGGCCATGGGATCCCACGTAAACCCACAGTCACCCGAACATTTAGCTGGAATTCCATTGACATAGACTTCAACCTTCAAATAAAGAGAACAGGGGTAGCATGGCTAAGGAGAATATGCATAGGATTTAAACAAATGATGGAATTTTGTTTGTTTGCTTGTGTGTTTATAAAAATTAATCTATTCATTTGTATTTCTTCTGCTTGACCATTCATTCATTCAGCAAATGTGCCTACTATGCAAAGGCACAGTTATAAATGTTAAAATACAGTAATACAACATTAAACACAAACGATGACATCCCTGCTGTCACTCAATTTATTCTCCGGTGGGGAAGAGACAGACAGTTGCACAAGACTATCAAAAATTTTAAGATTTTATTTATTTATTTGAGAGAGAGAGCTCATGAGAGAGAACATGAGCGGGGCAAAGGGAGAGGGAGAGGGACAAGCAGACTCCCTGCTGAGGAGGGAGCCCAATGCGGGGCTCAATCCCAGGACCCTGAGGTCATGACCTAAGCCAAAGTCAGATGCTCAACTGACTGAGCCACCCAGGCGCCCCAAGACTATAAATTTTTTTAAAAAGTAAATACATATTACGCCCTAGTGGTGAGTAGTGCTATGAAGGAAAATAAAGGTTGCTCTTGAGAAAGTCATTTAAACTCCTTATATATTAATTTTCTCATTATTAAAGTAGTAATAATTACTTCACAGAATGACTATAAAGATTAAATGAAAGAATATATTTTCAAATTCTAACAGGCTTAAAAATCCACTCTTTTATCATAAGGATGATAATTTCCCCAAAAGTCATAAAATAATATTACTGAGTTGATCAACTGTTGACCCAAATATTCACATGAAAATAAAGACATCATCCCTGCTGTTTAACTGGTCTTTAATGTATTACAAAGTAGTTACACATTTAAAATTATGTTAAATGTTATGAGGAAAGTTTCAAGAATACCTGTGGCTGTTGGCTGGGTGTACGAAGTAGGTCTCCAAGTATACGCTGTCTGAATAAGCCACCTTCCTTTATCTTCGTAACTGTCATATTAGCCTTTTCTCCAATAATATTGGAGTCATTAATCTGTTGTTATACAAAATTATTTTACTAGAAAGGCTATGATAAATATGACCACACTAGTTTTTCTTTTAAAATTAAGCAAGGTTGAAAGTGAATAAAAGCCAAGGATTTAAAAAAAAGCATTTGAAAACACTTTAGTCACATTTTTTGAAAAAGGAGCCTCTTCACAAATGAGCATAATCTACCCCCAATAAAATGCTATTATTGTCTTACCATAGATTGTATCAATTACAAGTTGAATTAAATGACTAAAATTAACCTGAATTTTTAGAGTAAAATATGTCTCAGGAAAATGAATTTAATAAATTTTATTTTCCCAGAACATTCCATGCTTTTTCTGAATATGACTGCTTTGACAAATGATTGTTGAATAGTTGAATAATTTATTCCTCTTTCCACCCGAAAGTCAACTTTTCTCAATCAGCATTTTCACCCCTGATTATCCTGGTTTTTCATTCACTCGTGGAATTATATTTTTTGGCCAATAATAAAAATGAATCGAATCAAATCAGTGTGTACAACTTGGTCATTCCAAAAATCCCTCTGCCAAGATGGCAGGCTTCTGATATATATACTGTGGCTAACAAAGAGATAGAAGTCTCCATGCTGGGCCTTGTGTGTGCCGAAGTGGTGATGAGAAGCAGAATGATGAGCAAGCAGAGGAGACTGATCAGAAGAGAGGCAGGGGGGTAAGTGCACAGATACCAGCAGAGATACCAAGAAGAAGACCAGTCACTAGAGCTGCTCAGCTACAGAATCTTCTAATTCTCATTTTAGACCATGCATTTTCTTAAATAACCTCCATTTCTTTATGACTCACTATTTTCCACATCCAGAGCCTATGTGTGTACATTATATGCTACACTTACATACCTTTTTTTTCTCTTTTTTTCCCCCACAATGTTTTCACAAGTAGACGGCTGTATTTTTTCCACCTTATGTCATGAACATCTTTCCAGGTGACTATCCAGGTTTCCCTGTGGCTGCACAGCAGTCATGCTAAGGTTGTGGCGTTTATCCTCTACTGATGAGGATAGGTTCCTAGGTTTTTACTATTACAAATACTGCTGCAGTGACTACCTCTGTGCCTATATCATTTCATATTTGTGTTATGATTTCGGTAGTATAGAGTTAAATAGCTGAGATTGCTAAATCAGGAGGTATCTATATTCAGACTCTACTACATAATCCCCTAAAAAGGTCATACTGATTGACTTTCTCACCAATGGTGCATGAGAGAGACTCTCTCTCTCTGTCACTGGAAAGCATCATCTTTTTAATGTTTGACAATCTGAGCCCCCAGACACCTCTGGATGCCTCTCCTTCACATACTCTGGGCCTGACCCCCGTTCCCTGCCCCCTTCACACTCTAACTAAGCAAAGGTTATTAGATGGCAACTTAACATGTGACTCCCTTATGAACTTAAAGTTCATAACCAGAAAAGCAACCAAGTCCCCAGAATGCAACTCTAGTGGATGGTGGTAGAATTATAGACAGCGAGGGTGATTATACTTGGTCCCCCCATTAGGTAGACCCAGATTTAGTTCTGAGACTGGCATTGCCTGGCCTCTTCCTGCCCCTGTCAAGGGTCTTCTAACACATATTCCTGGACTCTCTCCAGAGGGGACAGCAAATAAAGTACCAAGAACAATTCTCCACAAAAGAGAACATCTTGTCAACTTAATTGAGAACAATCTTATCCTCAATTTCCTTTTTTTCATGTTTAGTCTATAGTTCGCATTTTTAAAAGTATAGGCAGCCTCAAATTCTTATAAAAATGAGGCAGGGTGAAAAAAAAAATGAGGCAGGGTGCAAATAAGCAAGCAACACCCAGAAGAGAACAAAAACCAAGCCAGCTGAGGGAACCTGTAGAAGATTCTGCTTTCCACATGTGCTTCTCCACTTGATGTTCCATGAGTATCCAGCGCAAGTTCCTTCACGTGTCACTGAGACACGGCCCACTTCTTCCACGCTCTGGAGTGCAAATTGTAAATCCACAGCTGACACCATGGCAGGAAGGCCTGCACTCACACAAGGACAGGAAATAGGAAGAGTGAAAAATTCACAAATAAATTTCACCCTTAAAATACAGGAAATGTGTACTGCATATTACCACTTATAAGCCAACTGTCCTCCTTCAATATAGTGAAAATGAAATTTGTATCTCATTTATGCCAAGAATTTATGTATCTCTTGGAAGCAAAAATTACATGAGTAATATACCTCAGATTATAGCCTTGGCTCAAATATTTTTATTTTGAATACTGATTAACGTTATAGATAACCTTATAAGCCAAGGGATATAAAAGAAAAACAAACCTTTGGAAATATAACCTATTATATATGGAGAGGCGATGAAGAAAAAGTGAAAATATAATTTGTTCTGGATAATTTAGTTTTACATTACTAACATTATCTCAACTATATAAATTATGTAGAGAAATTATATTAGAAAGAAATACACCAAAATATTCATTATGATTGCCTAGATCAGCACTGTATATATATATATATATACATATATATATATGTATGTATGCCAATGTTCTGAACTTTTGTCATATACCTTTGAGGATGTGTCCATAAGCTTGAATGTCAAAACTGCCACTTAGAGGTGGGGACGCGGCTTGAATTCTTTGAATACGAATCTTTGACTCCCCTGGCCAATTATTTCCTCTGTAAACAGACTCATTCTCTGTCTCGTTTGTGATTATCTAATTTCCAAAATAAATATTGATAAAATGATTAAACATAAGAACGGCTAACATGATTTCTATTTCCCTATTGTACAATCCTGTGACATGACATAAATGGGGCTCAGGTATTCAGGATCCTTCAGAACATTAAGGAGAGTCACATAAATCAACACGGGCCATACCTACATAGCTGCAATAATGAGGCCAAAGTCAACTCAGTCATCTGGGCAGCAATAAGCTGGAACCACAGTAATACCTCATTAATTCAGAGTGTACCCTCCATCACTCAACGAACAAATATTTATTGAACAGGCATTCCATTCAAGGTACAGTGCTAATCACTGTGGGGAGGCAGGGAAACACAAGATGAAGCCTTAGCTATCAGAAAACTAAAGTTCTTTTTGGAGAAATAGCATATGGGGACTATAAAACTAACAATATACAATAGTATATAATCGGCACAGAGACTGATCCAGACTCAGGAAAACCTAAGGTTGAGTGCCAGTCAACTGACAAAAGCAACACGTGCTCTAAAAATTCATAGATTGTAACTCTAATAGTGAAAATGATAGTCTCCTGCTTCTGATCCCTCACAGTTGTCTGTGTATCTTGTGGAATTTAAAACTGTAAGCCTCAGTTGCCCACTGAAGTGAATAAACATAATTGCCAAAAGACATATGCAAGAATGTTCATTGCAGCTTTATTCATAATAGTACCAAACTGGAAATAAGGCAAAAGCCCACTGATAGGATGGTTAAATTGTAGTATAGTCACACCATGGAATATGGTAAAGCAATGACCAAAAATGAACTGCCGCTTCATGCAACACATAAATCTCACAATAGCAAATAAAAGGAGCTAGATGCAAAAGAGCACATACTGTATTATTTACTGATATGAAGACTAAAAACAAGCAAAACTATTTATTGGTGGTAGAAGTCAAAACAGTGGTTATCCAGGGGTAAAGAGTGAGTAATCTAATGACTAAGGGAAGGCACAAGGAAGGCTCTTGGGGAGGTAATGATTTTCTTTATCTTGATCTGGGTAGTGGTTATGTGAGGGCATTTACTTTGTAAAAATTCATGGAATTCAGCAAGGCTGCAGGATATAAGATCAACACAAAAACCAATCACATAATTGCTATATACAAAAGCAAGTATGTAGAAACCCAAATTAGCAACACAGGCCATTTACAATTACTTCAAGAAAAAAAAAAAAAAAAGAAATACATATAAATGTAACAAAACAGGTACAGGATCTGACCTGAAAATTGGAAAATGTTGGTGGAAGTAATCAAAGAAGACCTAAATATGCTGATGAAAGAGAGCAAAGAAGATCTAATAAATGGAGACATACCCTGTTCATGAATTGCAAGACCAATAAAAGTGTCAATTCTCTCCAAAACAATGTATAGGTTTAATGCAATTCTTATCAAAATGCCAGCAAGATTTTTGTAGACATTCACAAGTTTATTCCAAAATCTACAGCAAGATTTTTGTAGACATTCACAAGTTTATTCCAAAATCTACACGAAAAGACACAGCACCTAGAATAGCTCAAACAATTTTTCACAAGAATAAAGTAAGAGGAATCACTCTATCCAGGGCTGTCTTACTATATAGCTACAGTAAGGAGAATGGTGGGAGAATCAACACACAGAGCAAAGGAACAGAATAGAGAATACAGAAATATGCCTCCACAAATATGCCCAACTGATTTTTGACAAAGGTGCAAAAGTAATTCAATTGAGAAACAATAGCCTTTTCATTAAATGGTGCTGGATCATTTGGAGCCACAGGCAAACAAGGGAACATCGACCTAAAACTTCACATCTTATACAAAAGTTAACTCAAAATGAATCATGGCCTTAAATATAAAATGGACAGCTATAAAACTTTCGGAGAAAAACAGAAAAACATTTAGGACTTCGGGCTAAGCAAAAATTTCTTAAACTTGAAACCAAAAAGCACCATTCATAGAAGAAAAAATTGATAAACTGGATCTTATCAAAATTAAAAACTTTCATTCTGTGAAAGACCTTATAAAGAAGACAAAAAGGCCAGGTACACATTGAGAGAAAATATTTGCAAAACACATATCTGAGAAAGGACTCATATCTGGAATATAAAAGAGCTTTAAAAAACAATAAGTAAATAACCCAAGTGGAAAATGTGCAAAAGACATGAAGAAACATTTCACAGAAGAGGTTATATGGGTGTTCAATATCATTAGCCATTAGGGAAGGCAAACTAACACCAAAATGAGCTACAGTACATACCCATCAGAATGGCTAACATTAAAAAAGTAGTGATCATGTCAATGCTGGCAAGTTTGTGCAGAAACTGATCATTCAAACGTTGGTGGGATTGTAAAATGGTACAGCCACTTTGGAAAAGAATACGGTAGTTTCTTACAAAACTAAACATGTCCTTACCACATGACCTCATATTTGCACCATTGGGCAATTAATCTGGAAAAATGAAAATTTTATGTCACAGAAAACCTGTAGATAAAACATTCACAGCAGCTTTATTCATAATAGCAAAAACCTGGAAACAACTCAAATGTCCTTCAATGAGTAAGTGGTTAAACCAACTGTGGTACATCCATACCATTTGCTACTACTCAGTAATCAAAATGAACAAAGTATTAATTCCAAGCACAACAACTTGGAAGAATCTCAAAGGTAATATGCTGAGTAAAAACGTCAATCTCAAAAGGCTATATACTGGTATGATTATGTAAGATCTGATTCCATTTTACAGAACATTGTTGAAATGACGAGATGTAGTGTTTGCCAGATAAGGGGGAACAGGAGGGAGAAAGCTGGCTGTGGCTATAAAAGGGTAGCAGCACAAGGGATCCTTGGAATGGAACGGTTTTATGGTCGTCAGATGAATGTACACATGTGATAAAACTGTACAGAACTACACATATATTCACTATATACACATACACCCAAATGAAAACCTGTAAGACTGGTAAAATCTTATTAAGATCGGTAGATTGTGGGGCGCCTGGGTGGCTCAGATGGTTAAGCGTCTGCCTTCGGCTCAGGTCATGATCCCAGGGTCCTGGGATCGAGTCCCGCATCGGGCTCCCTGCTAG